TCTTAACCCCTGAGCCATCTGTCAAACCCCAAAGTCCAAAACTTTTTGAGTATCCTGTTTTTTTTTTTTTTTTTAAAGTTAGATATGCTCAAGTTATATTCTGTAATCCAAATAGTATATATTTTGTTTATCTGGGGGTCAGGTGCTTTTAATGTAGAATTTAGTAGTATCTGGTCTGTCAAACTGTGGGTTATTGATCGTAAGCAGTGCTGATTTAGTTGATCTACTTACTTTAAAAGTAAATGGACCCAGCACTCGGGAGGCAGAGGCAGGTGGATCTCTGTGAGTTTGAGGCCAGCCTGGTCTCCAGAGCAAGTGCCAGGATAGGCTCCAAAGCTACACAGAGAAACCCTATCTCAAACCAAAAAAAAAAAACAAAACAAAAACAAAAAACCAGTAAATGGAGTAATGACTGGGGTTGGGTCAGTTTTGGAATTAAGGATTTAGATGTCCTCTTTTGTAAAATTTTGTTGAATCATTTCAATTTATACTTAGTCATTGTTTATTGTAAATGAACTATTTTTCTTGTGGAACCTTATGATAACTTAATGAAAATAGTTGAAAGATAAATCAATAGGGGCTGTTAAGATCTAATTTAGCATTCTGCAGGAATTATAACATTTAATATGCTTAGCATACTCATAAAATAATGTTTTCTGGGGAAAAAAAGGATCCACATTTTCTATATCCAAGAATTCAGCTGGGATCTAAAATACTGCCTGGGTGACATTGCACATGCATTGCATATGTACAGACTTCTTACCGTTATTCCCTAAACCAGTACAGCATAATCACTTTTCCATAATCATTTACTGTGTTAGAATTTTTAAGAAATCTAGAGATTAAAGTATATGAGAGGAAGTATAGTTTATAGGTAAACACTGCACCATTTTATATAAGAGGCTTAAACATCTGCAGGTTTTTGGTGTTCTTGAGTGGGTTGGGGATATGTTGGAACCAGTCTCTTGCTGCTGGGTTTTATGTGCTAATTTTTCACATGGCATTGAACAACCTTTGTAATGAGGGTATAACTCCCCCATCTCTTAGAGTTCTTTAAAAGGAATGGCTGTTAATACTTTTTTAAAATAAGGGTATTTTGAAATTGGTGCTGTCCTTTACTGGTAGTATCTAACAATGTACATATGGTATTAACTGTGATTCTAGGAACACCAAAACCAGTTTGGGCCTATCAGGGAAAATGAATACTTTTAATATCTCTATCAGAATAATCCCAATAATGGTATACATTAAATACAACTTATCTGTGGTATTAAAAATGTATGGGGTGGGGGCTGGAGAGATGGCTCAGAGTTTAAGAGCACTTGCTGTTCTTCCAGAGGTCCTGAGTTCAATTCACAACTATCTGTAATGAGATCTGGTGCCCTCTTCTGGCCTGCAGGGATATGCTCAGACAGAACACTGTATACATAATAAATAAATCTTTAAAAAATGTATAGAGTGTGATTAGGGGAAAATTGTCTAATAACTTGAAGAAGATAGTGCTAATAAAAAGATTAAAACATTGCCTTAAGGAAATGAATGGGGGACTGGAGAGATGGCTCAGAGGTTAAGAGCACTGACTGCTCTTCCAGAGGTCCTGAGTTCAATTCTCAGCAACCACATGGTGGCTCACAAACATCTGTAATGAGATATGGTGCCCTTTTCTGGCATGCAGGCATATATGGAGGCAGAATCTTGTATACATAATAAATAAATAAATCTTAAAAACAAAGAGAAAATGAAAGGGAATTTCATCATTTTTCTATCCATCATACCTTTTAAAATTTTTATTTTACCTAAATGTATGTCTATATGAGGGTGCCAGGTTTCTTGGAACTGGAGTTGCAGACAATTGTAAGCTGCTATGTGGGTGCTGGGAAATGGACCCGGATCCTCAGGAAGAGCAGCCAGTGCTCCTAACCTCTGAGCCATCTCTCCCCATCATACTTTTTAAGTGTATTCTCTCACTGGCAACAGATTTGTGTATCTTGTAGGAAGAAAACAGTCCTATATTGTAAAGGAGAAGTGTACCCCTCCCACTTTCTCCCCCACCCCCTTATTTCTTTTATCTTTTTTCAAAGCAAGTGTCCCAGGCTGGCCTCAAATTTATGGCAGTCTTCTGCTCCAGCCTCCCAACTGCTAGGATTCCCAAAGCTGAGTGTACAGCCATTACTGGATTTTGATAACTGCATGTCATTAGAATGATTGTAGTGATTTAGAATAGTAGGAATTGAAAGAAAATACTTTGTTACTCTTTTCACAAATTTTGTAATTCACCTGCATCTGCCTTCAAGTGCTGGGATTAAAGACATTTGGCATTATTCCCTGCCTAAGAGCTGTTCTTGATAGAAGTTAGAGATGGCACTTTATTGATGATTAGGGTCTAGAAACATGGGTGAGAAACAGATTGCTTTTGGAATTTGAAACGGTTAGGATATATTGAAATTTTGCATTTTAGAATGCCATTGAAATGTCTTTGAAAAAGACCTTTCACATAGCAGAAATTGATGTTGTTGGCTTTCTTTGACAAAGTAGAAACCTTTTAGTTTGTTTAGTAGGGTTTGTGAGTTCATTTTTATATGTGACCTGTGAGGCATTTTGCATAATTTCTGAATATGCTCATTTTCACTTTAAATAGAAACGGTTACATGTGTTCTGGATTTTCTTTAAAATGTGAACAGTACTTAAAATAATGAAGCTAAAAAAGGAAGACTGCAGATACCAGTAAGAGTATTGTTTGAATTGCATTCTTAGCAATGACAATTATGTATTCAGCTTCATTATTTTTTTTTCACCAAGTCCAATGTATACCATTGGGGTTAACACAGGCTGTGGCCCTGGAACAAAGAGAAGCTAACTAGTTCACGTGGAGATCAAACCCCAGGACCGTATCTCAGCATCACTCAAGTTGGATTGGAAGCAGTCCAACTACAGACAAAATGCCTGATCCTAAACAGTGGTAGAGTATTATGAATATGGAAAATGTGGTTGGTGTCACATAGGAAGTCATGAACATAAAAAAAAAATTAGTGATTGTAATGCACCAGGTTAGTGTAGTTTCAATTACTGCCTGTAAATGATTATCTACTTAAATATTTTCCTACATTTAAAACCAGTGAAAAATCACATTATATTTTAATCTTTTCCTGTAAATGAAAGTAGAAACTTAAATACTTTTTAGTCTTGTATTCAGTAACTCTTGCATTCCTTTTTACTCTCCCTCCAACTGTATTTGATTAATCTCTGTTGAAGATAGAATAATTATAATATTTTTACTTGGTGTACAGAACTGGATTGCAAAAGAGTTTTAAAGTGCTCACTACCCTTTGTGGGAAGCTTAAGTGTATGGAGCCACTTTGCAGCCACATCATCAGAAGTTTTGGCTACCTTGAAACTTCGTCACCAAGCTTACATTCCTTTTTTGTAATTTTACTGTCAGCTCAGTTTGCATGTGCTTCTTTGTTTAATAAAAACCAATTACTTATCATTTTGGCATTGTTCATTAAAATCAATGCATTATTCATAGTGGTCTTAGTTTCTGCCTTTTGCTGAAGGTGGCTTTTTGTTCTTTGATTTACCTTGGTATTTTAGGTCTTTTTATTAAATAAATCTTACAGACATCCTGCCTTCTAGTGAGTAAAGTTCGTATGTAATAGCTTGATTTTTTTGTTTGTAATAGCTTGATTGTTTGGTTGGTTGTATTTGAACTCACAGAGGTCTGCCTGCCTTTGCCTCCTGAGTGTTGGGATTAATGACTTGTGCCACCACCGCCCAGCTTGATAAATTTTAAGAAACTTAGATGATCAGATATAACAAAAAGTTTTTTTTTCTTGGTCATTATCATATTATAGTCCCTAAAACTAACTCTTGTATGCCATATGACAGTTCTTAGTAGATTGCATTGTATACATGGGAGAACTTGAATTAAGCCATTACATCTGAACTCTTAATTTGTTTTGTATTATTTTTAGTTTATCTCAAATTTACCTCAGAAGGGTAAAATAGTTCACATTGATATTGATATACTTACTTAGTCTTAAAAAAGGGATATTTACTATTTACAAATTGAATTACCTTTTTTTTTTTCCCTCACATCCATTTCTCTTCTGCCTGACTTATCACTTAGGCATGTAAGTAACATCCTAGCATTGCTTTAATTCTTCTGTGACAGTGACACAACTTTTACTAGATTCTATGTGGATTATTTTTCACTTGGGTAGATTTTAAAAGTTAAGCAGTAGCTCTTTGTCTACTGAGAGTAATACAATTATTGCAAGGTATTACTTTGAATAGATTTAGTAGTTCTTTGTCTACTGAGAATAATGTAGCTATTACAAGATATTACTTTGAATAGTTTTGTTTTGTTCTTCTGAGATAGAGTTTCTCTGTGGCTTTGGAGGCTGTTCTGGAACTAGCTATTGTAGACCAGGCTAGTCTTGAACTCACAGAGATCCACCTGCCTCTGCCTCCCGAGTGCTGGGATTAAAGGTATACACCATCAATGCCTGGCTTGAATAGTTTTATTTATTTTTTTGTCCCACTAAATATTTAAGACTTTGAAACATGTATATGTCCCCCCTGCCCTTTTTGGTCCCATTTCTGTGGCTTAGCTTATAAAATAGTAGCTTTCTCAGAGTAGGTAAACAAGATCCATCTGATTACCAAAGAAAATACTGGGGTTTTTGCCTGTGGTCACATATTAAAGACTTATAATACCTCTGATTTTTTATTCGTGACAGTCTTAGGACAACTATTCTTTTGAAACAGTTGTTTTCATTTATGTGTTGTTACTTCTAAGAATACTTTACTTTCAAGGAAGACATTAAAGCCACCATTGAAGAACACATCCATTAAAGTGAGAAGAGACTTGTACTAAGGTCTTTGGGTCTTTTCCTGTCTTGTACGAGATTTTTAAAATAAGAACATTGAATGAACCTCTATTCAGATTTATTTAATATTCTGACTGTCATATAATCTAGAACATTATTTCTGTGTCTTAGGAGGCGGAATATGGTGGGCATGATCAGATAGATTTGTATGATGATGTCATCTCTCCATCTGCAAATAATGGCGATGCCCCAGAAGACCGGGACTACATGGATACTCTTCCACCAACTGTTGGTGATGATGTGGGAAAGGGGGCGGCACCAAATGTTGTCTATACTTACACTGGAAAGAGAATTGCATTGTATATTGGAAATCTAACATGGGTAAGTAAAGTTAACAGATTATTGGTAGTTCATTTTGAACTGCTCCAGTAGTCCATGTTTTTGCCCAGTTTTAAAAAATATTGACATTACTGTATTTGTTTTTCTCTTGTTAACCTATGTGGCAAAACCAAGTTCTTTTAAAAAGACATTACAGTTATTCTAATTTTGGATTTTATAGTTTGGTTTAGGTATATACTTAAATAAGAGTTTGCATTTTTCTTTATACTCTTTTTGCATTCTTACCAGTTTCACTAAGAAAAATCTTCATGTGGGGTCTCAAATTAATGCAAGATTATAGGAGAAAGAAAAAGTCTTCATTTTCTAATTTGAATTGCAGATTTAAGTTTCATTTTTGTCCTTAAATTTGAAATGAATGCATACAAGTATACTTTATAATATTTGTGTTTGCCTGTTTTTTGTTTTTGTTTTGTTTTGTTTTTGAGATGGATCTTGTTATGTAACTTTGGCTGGCCTGCTATTCACTATAGTCCAGACTGGCTTTGAACTCCTGTCAGTCCTCCTTCTGCACTTAAGTGCTAAGTTTATATGCACATGCCACAGTGCCTGGAATATACTTTGTACTTTAATTGAGTTGTTCATTAGACTAAGATTATTAGTTGAGTGCTTCATGAACTATAGTATAATATATCTGTTAATGTTCTTATTAGCTCTGGGCGGTGGTAGTGCACGCCTTTAATCCCAGCACTCAGGAGGCAGAGGCAGAGGCAGAGGCAGAGGCAGTCGGATCTCTGTGAGTTCAAGGCCAGCCCGGTTTACAAAAGCTAGTTCCAAGACAGGCTCCAAAGCCACAGAGAAACCCTGTCTTGAAAATCCACCCCCCAAAATGTTCTTATTAGCATCAAACCTGAATAATCACTGAAGTGTTCCTATAACTTTTTTTTACCTGAACTATTACTTTTAAAAATTTAAAAGTTACAGCAAAATTTTTGCTTTTTATTCTGTTTATAGCAGAATATTTTATTTGAAAATATTTTACTTCACATTGCTTTTGTGTTTTTATTTTATGTATATAGGTATTTGTGTGTCTGCATGTCTGCACTACATACATGCAGGCCCTCAGAGGCCAGAAGAGGGCATCATGTTTCCTGGGACTGGAGTTGTGAGCCATCATGTGGGTGTTGGGAGTTGGGTCTAGAGTCCAATGGGCCATCTCTTCGGTCCTCGCTTTTTTTTTTTTATTTAGATAAACTAAATGATTGAGTTACCTGTCATCCAGTCTGAACAATCTTTTTACAGCCTTGGAAACAATGGCAGTATAACTAAGTGTTGGTATATATCTGTGTTTTGTGACTTTGAATAAGCTGTTTATCCCCTCTATTGCCTTTAATGAAAATGAAAGTAATGGGACTTAGGTAAGTGTGAAATATTTGATAAAAAGAAAGGTACATAGTAGCTATTCATATTGGTTTCTCCATATTATAGTGAAACTTAAGGTGTTTCACAAGATACTTTCTTTTAAAGGGAGGAAGTTACAAGTGAGATTGGTTTTATTGAAAATTTAAAATCATAGGAGTTTAAAGCTGGAAGAAACCAGAAACTTATTTTTTCTGATACAGGGTTCTCTGTGTAGCCCTGGCTGTCTGGGGATCACTCTATAGACTAGGCTGGCCTCAAACTCACAGAGATCTGCCCGCCTCTGCCTCCTGAGTGCTGGGATTAAAGGCGTGCATCTCCACACCTGGCTGGAAACCAGAAACTCTTAAGGAAACTGTATCTGTCTCCCAGAGCATGTACTTGACTATTTCCAAAACTATTAGGAAATGAAGTTAGGTATTCAAGATGTTTTTTTCTGCTATTTAAAAATTGAAGACTGACAGGAAGTAACTATACTTAGACTTGCACTAAACAATTTTTTCTTATCAGTTGTTTTCCTGTAAAATTTAAATTCAGACAATAAAAGCTTGAATCTATTTTAATGGCTAATAAGGGGGAAATGTCTTGCAGTGGACAACAGATGAGGATTTAACTGAAGCAGTTCATTCTTTGGGAGTAAATGATATTTTGGAGATAAAATTTTTTGAAAATCGGGCAAATGGACAATCAAAGGGGTAAGAATTTAGTTTTCTTCCTAATATAAACTGTACAAACCTGACAGCTTGAGTTAGTTCTTTGGGAACCCACGTGAACACACTAGAAGGATGATCTTAGGCAGAGGTTCATACTTAAATTTTATATTTCTTGTGTCTTAAAAATATGCTGGTGCTGGTTGAGATGCAGCTGTAGACAAACTAGGCCTGTTCCTGCATTTATTTAGTACACTGCTTCTAAGCTGGAAAGGACAGTGCTGAGAAGCATTGCTGTGGTTAAGAGATGAGGAAGAGCCGAGTGTGGATGGGGCTCAGTGGTAGAACCACTTGCATAATGTGGGATAGCTCTGGGTTTGACTGGACTTCAGCTCCATAAAAATAAAAATAATGAAGAAAGGTAGGTAGATGAAGATTAAATGTCATCTAGGTATCTTGCTTCATTTCCCTAATCAGCAAATCACACACAGGCTAGGATTATTATATAATGCAGTTATCTAAAAGTAAGAAAATGAATTGCTACAATTTCACCATTTGCAGATAATAATTAATAAATATGCTTCCACATTTCCCCCTAAATAGTGGTATTAAAATTCACACTTTGTCATGTTTGATTGAAAAGAACAGAAGACAAAGTGATAAATATCTTACTTTATTTTTTAATATCATGGTTGTTTACACTTGACTGTATTATAAATAATATAATAGGCACATTATTGGATTTTTTTTACATTTAGTTTATGTGCATGAGTACAGTACAATACAATACTTTTAAGAAATATACTTAGAAAGTTAAGCAACCATTGCATCTCTAGTTTCAGAACATTTCATCACCAAAGAAACCCTGGGTTCATTAGCATTATCTCCATTGATTGCTGACAGCCATTCATGTACTTTCTGCCTCAGAGTTTATCTACTCTGGGTGTTTCATGTAAACAAAGTAGTAATAAAGATGCACTGTGTGTCTGACTTCCTTCACATAGTATAATATTTTCAAGGTTCATCAATGTAGCAGCACTAGCATTTCCTTTTATGCCTGAGTAATAGTCCCATAGAATGGGGTGGCACATAGATCCTTCTATGATCCATATTTGGGTGGTTTCTACTTTTAGTGATTAAGTGGGGGGGGATGTCTAAGACTGTTTAACATTTTGAGAAGCTACCACACTGCACAGTCACCATCAGTGCAAGAGGATTAGTTTCTCATCTTCACCAGCACTGAATAGTTGTCATTTTGATTATAGTGGGAAATTACATCTCAGTATGGTTTTTGGTTTGTACCTTGATGGCTAATGATGCTGAGTAACTTCTTTTTAAAAATTATTGATTATTTTTTGTATATGGGTGTTTTGGCTGCATGTATGTCTGTGTATTTTGTGTATATCTAATGCCCATGGAGACCAGAGGAGGGAATTGGATCCCCTGGAACTGGAGCTTTGAACAGTTGTGAGCCAACACCATGTGGGTGCTGGGAATCAAACTGAAATCTGGAAGAAGAGTCATCTCTCCAGCCCCTATGCCAAATATCTTTTTGTGGCAGTAAAAAGTAAAAACAACCCAAGTACCTTGATGGGTGGATTTAAAACAAAACCAGAAAACAATGTCTATAATGGAACATTACTCAGCCACTAAAAGAAGTGAATTAGTGATGCATATTATAGCATGACTAGACCTTGAACACTAAGTGAAGCTGGCTGTAAAGTCCTATTATGTATTCCATTTGTTTGAAAGTTCTGTTGAGGCAGACCATAAGGGATGAGAGTAAGTAGGGATGGGGCAGAGGCTATGGGGCTATGGGTTTTCTCTTTTGGTAACAATGAATGTTATGAAATGAACCATTATGATGTTTGTAAAGCACATGAATGAATATACTAAAAAAATTACTGAATTGCACATTTAAGTGAGTAAATTTTGCAGGACATTAAAAAAGATAGTATAAGCTTCTGTAGCTTTAAGAAAGAGTCTATTCTTCTTATAAGAGTAAATTGGGACCATTTCTTCTTTTAATCAACGGTGACAGTCTCAGTTCCTTGTTTTATTCCCACCCCCCCTTAACATCTTTTAGATTTGCCCTTGTTGGTGTTGGATCTGAAGCATCATCCAAAAAGTTAATGGATCTGCTGCCTAAAAGAGAGCTTCATGGTCAGAATCCTGTCGTGACTCCTTGCAATAAGCAGTTCCTGAGTCAGTTTGAGATGCAGTCCAGGAAAAGTAAGCACATCTCTCAGCAGTGTTGCTGACATTTGTTAAATATTACACTTACTATTTAGTTTATTGGATGAACTTGATTTCATCATTGGTTATGACTGTGGGCCAGTATACTGGAAACCTACTCCCATTCTGGTTTTTTTTTTTCTAGATGTCACAGACCCAACTTTGTGCAACTGTTTGAGAGCTTTATAGTGTTTCCATTCTTGTCCTGTCACTCACATCTTAGACAGGAGGGGTGGGATATGGATATATGTATCCATAGGGATAGAGAGGCTAATGATAACTAGGAAATAGTCACTTTTCCCCTGCTCGGCACCAAGACCTTTTGTTACTTAGTAAATAAATGTAGAAGAGATATGTCATTATATGCTTCTTTTAAAAAAAAAAAAGATAAGGTGGATGAGCCATGTAATTAATAGCAATACATGTGGTTACTTTTGTTTTAATTTTTTAGCATTTAAAACTTACTGAAGATATGTTGCATGGCATAAAAATAAATAATCTGCTATTGAAATTAAGATTGCTGTTGAAGAATTTCTGTCTTGGCTGCTGTAGAGTACTGGTATTTTAAAAGCAATGTGTTTATTCAGTGAAAGTCCATTTAAGCTTGACTATTTCAAGACTTTAAGAAAGTATTTAAATAAATGTGAATGTTTTCCTAGCCAATTATTTGCATAGGCCCAAGTCATCTGCAGATTGACAAATAGTATAATTGAACTTTAAAGTAGTTTCTAATAACACGGTTACAATTCAGAGAACTGTTTTAATAAGTGCTATTTATGAGTATTTGGGTGTTTACAGCTACACAATCAGGACAGATGTCTGGGGAAGGTAAAGCTGGTCCTCCAGGAGGCAGTTCACGTGCAGCATTTCCACAAGGTGGTAGAGGACGGGGCCGTTTCCCAGGGGCTGTTCCCGGTGGGGACAGATTTCCTGGGCCAGCAGGACCAGGAGGGCCACCTCCACCTTTCCCAGGTAAAACTTAAGTTTATCATGGAGAAAACATGTCTGCCTAATACCGCTTTTCCTTTTCTCTCTTTTTCAAGTAATGCATTATTAATGTGACTTACTCTCCTTGTTATGCTATTTTTGGAACCCAGGAAATTTGATCAAGCATCTTGTTAAAGGAACTCGGCCTTTGTTCCTGGAAACTAGGATTCCATGGCATATGGGGCACAGCATAGAGGAAATACCCATTTTTGGCCTAAAAGGTCTTTATTTTTCTCCAAACTTGCTTGACTTATATATAGAATATTTACATCCGTCTTATTTTCTTACCTCTTAAAAAATCCTTTCAAGACCATTTTTCCTTGTTTCACTTTCTAGCTTGGCATCAGAGTAGAATATAAGGTGGGTGATTTCACTGTAAGAAAGAAGTGTGTGTGCTCAAAGATGGGAAATATCTCTAGGTGTTCAGATCTGTTCAAATTGTAATTTGAATAGTTAAATTTGTGAGGATACTCTTCACCTTTGTAGTTGTTGGTAGAGCATTACCATATGGGTTTCATTTAAAGAGAGAGTCATGGTTTATAAGTTCTGCTGTAGAAGTATAATCTTGGCATATAATAGTTAATATCTTTATTGAAGTGTTTTTCTCCTTTTCTCTCCTTTATTTTGTAGCTGGACAGACTCCACCACGTCCACCTTTGGGCCCCCCAGGCCCACCTGGTCCACCAGGTCCTCCACCTCCTGGTCAGGTCTTGCCGCCACCTCTAGCAGGACCTCCCAATCGAGGAGACCGCCCTCCACCACCAGTTCTTTTTCCTGGACAACCTTTTGGGCAACCTCCGTTGGGTCCACTTCCTCCTGGGCCTCCACCTCCAGTTCCAGGCTACGGCCCTCCTCCTGGTCCACCGCCTCCACAGCAGGGACCACCTCCACCTCCAGGCCCCTTCCCACCTCGACCACCAGGTCCACTTGGGCCTCCCCTTACACTTGCTCCTCCTCCACATCTTCCGGGACCACCTCCAGGTGCCCCACCACCAGCTCCACATGTGAATCCGGCTTTTTTTCCTCCACCAACTAATAGTGGCATGCCAACATCAGATAGTCGAGGTCCCCCACCAACAGACCCATATGGCCGACCTCCACCATATGATAGGGGTGACTATGGTCCTCCTGGGAGGTAAGTTAAACACCTAGTAATGAAACTATCTAGTCAGTAATAAAGAACCGTGAATGAAATCTATTACATTGTAGAAATGTAAACATAATTTCTGTCCTGCATTAAGATCAGTTTTCTAAGCTGCAGTTTTATTTCAGCCAGAACACAATGCTAAAGGGAATTTTGCTTAGACTTGATCTGGTAGGGAAAGTAGCATTCTCCAGTCAGGAAAAGTAACAGCTGTCTCTGAGCAAATGCCAAAACCTGTTAGTGGAGTTGTTTACATTGTTCCTAAATGAGAACTTTTGTTAAGTAAGAATTACAACACTTATTTGTCTTTTGTAGGGAAATGGATACTGCAAGAACACCTTTGAGTGAAGCTGAGTTTGAAGAAATCATGAATAGAAATCGGGCCATCTCAAGTAGTGCTATTTCAAGAGCTGTGTCTGATGCTAGTGCTGGTTTGTATATTTGTTTCAGTGTCCACTCTTTAACATCACTATTTATGTTAAGAATAACCCCAAGCCTAGGGACTGGAGAGATGGCTCAGCCATTAAGAACTGGCTGCTCTTCCAAGGACCCTGGTTTGATGCACAACCATTTGTTAACTTCTGAGGCTCCAAGGCCCTTTACTGGCTTCTGCTGGCATCAGGCATGCTTGTAGTGCATAGACAGACACACATTCAGTCAAAATACCCAGTCACATAAAATAAAATTTAAAAATCAAAACCCAAAGCTTAAGTGCAGTTTGTAAAGATAGTTTACTTTCTGCAGTCTGTATATTCTCAAATCATTATCTGTCATTGAATTTTAAAGTATTGAAGGAAGATACATGCTAGTATAGTAGAAAGGCCACCAGTTTTAAGTTACTGTATTTAGATTTAAATATTAATTGGGGGTTGGAGAGATGGCTCTGATTAAGAGCACTGGCTGCAAGTGCTGTGATCCCAGTATCTTCCCCTTTCCTCATTGGGTACCAAACACACTCTTGGTGCATAGACATACATGTAGGCAAAATATCCACACATATAAAATAAAATAAAATACTAACTTTGGGAATTGGAGAGATACCTTAGAAGGTAAGAGCACTGCCTGCAGCTCCAAAGGATCCAGAATTGATTCCTAGCACCCATGTGGTGGCTCACAGCCACTGATAACTCCAGTTCCGAGGTATCTGACGCTCTTTTGGCCTCCATGGACACCAGGCTTGCTTGTGATGCAAAGACATATGTAGGCAAAACACTGGTACACGTAAAAAGATTAAATACTAACTTTGGTATAATAGCTCAGAGTCCTAAAGATAGCTCATTTATTCTCATATTTGCAAAATAACTGTCCCTGTGCATGCAAAAATAGTCAATTTACAAATTTCATAACACTGAACAAAAGTCATTGCTTCATCATTCTTACTCCAAAATGGTTGGTTTGATGATAATTTGGAAACAAAATTTGTTTGCTAGTAACCTTTTCTTTTCCCCTGCAGGTGATTATGGGAGTGCTATTGAAACATTGGTAACAGCAATTTCTTTAATTAAACAATCCAAAGTATCTGCAGATGATCGTTGCAAAGTTCTTATTAGTTCTTTGCAAGATTGCCTTCATGGAATTGAGTCCAAGTCCTATGGCTCTGGATCAAGGTAAAACTTTCCTGTCTCATGTATTTTTAAATTAGTTAATAACAATAACAAAAGTGTAACTTAAAAAAAAAAAAAGATGGAACTGATTTTACTTGCTGTGTACTCAGCAGTCAGAGTGTTTTTTTTAAAGTAACTAAATGGCATGTTAATGTTTCCTGAAGTCCTTCAAGGGGTCCACTTACTTAGAATAAAGTTTCATGCCAGGAACTGTATGGCTTTTGTTTACTCTCAGACCAACTGTACACAAGCACACTGTGTGATGGAACCTCCCATACACACTCACACTGTTCTCTAACCAAATGGCCTCCCTGTTCATGGACACATCAAGCACTGACCACCATACTGATTTTGTACATGGATTCCTTCTTGGAACCATTTCATTTGTTTCTTTTCCCCTCTCCCTATACATTTATGTTTTTATGTTTCAACTTAATCTAGTCTGTCATATTCTATTTATTTTGTAGTATTTGCTATAACCATTTATTCTTTATCGGTGCTCATTTCTTACTGAACACATGTTGAATGATGACAGGGACATTTCTTGATAGAGGATGTTTTTGAAAGAGGGAATTGAATGAATGTGTGGTAATCTATTTTGTAATAGAAACGTTTTTATTTTAGATTTATTTATTTTATGTGTATGAATATTTTGCTGAATTCATGCACTCCACATGTGTGCTAGTGCCTATGGTAGTCAAAGAGAACATTGAGTTTCCTAGAACTAGAGTTAGGATGGCTGTGTTAGTTGTGAGCCATCATGTGGGTACTGGGAATCAAACCCTGGTCTTCTGTAAGAGCAACAAGTGCTTTTACCATATTTTTAGCCCTTGTAATGGATCACTTTTAAAAGGTTGATTTTAAACCATTTTTACTAACCTTGAGATTTTAAGTATTTTGGGAGGTAAATCGTCACATAATGATGTTGTCTCTTTTGAGTTGGAGTCTCTGATACTATGTAGACCAGGCTGGCCTGAACTTAACAGAGATCAACCTGCCTCTTATTCCGTACTCAGCCACATTTTTAATATTTTGATTTCATGTGTGCAGGTGTTTTGTCTGCATGTATGGCTGTGTACCATGCATGCTGGATGCCCACAGAGGCTAGAAAAAGGCCTTGGATTCCTCAGAACTAAAGATAGAAATAGTTGTGAACCACCATGTGAGTGCTGAGAATTGAACCTGGGTCCTCTGGAAGAGCAGCTAGTGTTTTTTACTCCTGAGCTATCTCTACAGTAGCCCATGTGATAGTCTTGTATCTGTCCTTAGTAGGCTTTTTCTGTAAGTATCTTAATTAAGAGAAAGGAGTTTATATTGGACACAGTTTTTACTTTGTTATTTTTGGGCTCTGTTTAAGTTGTCTCCATATCCGAACTATTTTGTCATGCTTTCTTCGTGAGGACATCCAGTTTGATCAAGGAGCTTAACACATATTTAAATTGCCTGGTTAAGAAATTATATGATAGAAGGATTCTTAAACTAATGGAATTATTATGCATTTGGCTATGATTTGAATTTTTAGGATGCAATGGCAAAATTAGCATAAATTTCTTTTTTCTTCATTATTTCATGGGTGCTCAATGTAAACCTTAGCAACTTCAGCATGACTTTTCATTTTCACTTTTTTCACTGAAAGGAACAATGTCCAAATTGCCTGTCAGCATCACTATCATACTTTGGGGTTATTTAAGTATAAGCACTGTACTACTGTGATACTTGAGGCAGATACTGAATAATTAGTGGGTATACGGTATTGAGTGTGTGTACACTGGACAGAGAGATGGTTCTCAGTGAGGCAGGAAGGAGCAGCTAGAATCAGCTCTGGAACTCTTTCCTAAGAGGCCTTATAAGATACAGATTCTCTGTATAAGCACTGTACTACTGTGATACTTGAGGCAGATACTGAATAATTAGTGGGTATACGGTATTGAGTGTGTGTACACTGGACAGAGAGATGGTTCTCAGTGAGGCAGGAAGGAGCAGTATGGTAGAGATTTCATCCTGGTTGCCACAATCTAGGTGGCTTGGTTGTTGGAACCCTGACTAGGGGCTGCACAGGAATGAGGAAAGGACAGACACACTTTCAATAGAGCCAGCATCAGGAAGATTCTGCTCAGCTTCAACCTGGAACCTGGAACTTCTATACATGTATTATTAGGTGAAATTATTGAAGAAGACTAGCTTAGGTAGGTCTCTGTAGAGTAGTGGTTGCAGTCTAAAAACATCCCACACACACTGATCTTTACACACACTGATCAGTTACTCCTAAATACTCCTACTAGGACTCCTGAGAGGAGCTTGCCAGCCCTCCTGAGCCTGGCCTTCATGGGAACCTTCTTTGCCAATGTTAGGTGGGGTTGTTAGGGGCCTCTGAGTCCCCACATAACCATGGCAGTGTTAACAATACACATTCATTCAGAACTTTATTCACTTGGGCCTTTTTCCACTCTTACAGCTGATCAGAATGGCATAAAATGTTTTATTTCTGAGATTTTACATTTAATATTATCAGATTGGTTGACTTGTAACTGAAACCATGGAAAATTAAAACTAGTGATAAAGGAAAGGTATTAAATATTAAATATTAAATGTCTTAGAAGCTTTTCAGTTAAGGAGAGCATTAATCCAGTAATTTCTTTTAGAAGACGTGAACGATCAAGAGAAAGGGACCATAGTAGATCACGGGAAAAGAGTCGGCGTCATAAATCTCGGAGTAGAGATCGCCATGATGATTATTACAGAGAGAGAAGCAGAGAGCGAGAGAGACACAGGGATCGGGATCGGGACCGAGACCGGGAGCGCGACCGAGAGCGAGAATACCGTCATCGTTAGAAGGTGGGCATTCCATTTTATTATTCTATTCAGTATGTGTGTGTTATTAACAGTAATTATAACTCCAAGGCTGTTGTTTATACATACAGTAAATATACCTACATTTTAAGTGGTCCAAGTACTTGTTCTGATTTAATCTTCTGGAAACATCTGAAAACAGGTAAGCCATCACAGGTAAAACATTTTGACCTTTTTTTCCCTTGAATATTGTATCATGAGTTATTTGTGACTTTTAGATTTCAGATTGTTTGTGATCTTAAAGCAAGAAAAATAATCAAGAGGACTCATTGTGTACTTCTAAAATTTAAAAATTGGGATCCTTGTAATCACATTCACTGTTTCATGTGATTTAAAATATTTATAAAACACCAGGGAATTGTTTCAGATATGAATGTTTTGTGCTTGGATTTTTAAAAATAAAGTTTCTATCCTTCTTCCCTTGAACTAACTTCATTTGTCCCTGAAACTTTTTAAGAAATTTAACACTATAATAGGGTATAATACAAAAAGGTGTTTTTCAACATTGAAAGAGGTATTTTTCCCTTAAAAAAAAAATACATTTTATAAAAAAAAATGGACATTTGATTTTTTTAAAGGAACATTATTTTTTTTTTATATGCAAAGTAGCTGTAAAGTGGGTTCAGGGTACATAACTAAAAAGTTACATTGTGCCAAGCCACACATCCCAAGTTAGAAATAACTGAAAATAATTTTCTTTGATGTTTCATTCATAAGCCATAATCATTGTCTTTTTTTCTGTATTTTAAACTTTTGTGTACATTTTTTCCATAAAGTAGAATGAGTTGTCTGTTTATGCTTCATTTTTACATGTAATTTTATTTTATATTTGTGAACAGTGTTTACTCATGAAGAGTGGGGAAAGAGCACTGTGAATCTTTTGCATGTGACAGGTTATTCTACAAACACCTTTGCTCCATAATATGGCATATTTGAATTAAATTAGGCCTAAAACATCCTATATATGTAAATACCTAGTTCTAAAAATTGTTAATATTTAAATTGTAATTGACTTTATTGTATATGTAATTCTATGACAGTTTCTTTAATAATTATACATACACACAACACACAAGAAAAGAGGTATCTAATTTTTATGTAATGTGATAGTTATAAGGAAGCCCATTTTAATACTTTATCTTACATTTTGACTATGGCCTTGAATATTTATGGAAACATTTTATTAGTTAAATCTTGTATTAAAATTTTGAATTATAAAAACATTTATCTAATAGTTTTAAAATTAATAAAATTGGTAGTTTGAATATAAAAATTGACATCTCAAAAATCTAAACTAAATTTTAAATGAAGTTTTTTCATTCCTACTAAAAATCCCTTAAAGTGGATTCTGGTCACGTTATTACTTGATGTCTAATTCTCTGTCATTTGATAAGGTACAGGTTCTACAAGCTGTATTTATCTTAGACCTTGCAGTTTATCAACTATCTTACAGTTACCAAAGATAGAATAGTGAAACTTGGATACATTTTCATTAATTCAGTGTGTCCATCAAGGAGTCTGTAAGCCAGTTTATTCGTAGAGTTAATCAGTAGCAGTTTTCTTATGGGTCTTCATTAAATTAATTTAGTAAACCAACTATGTTCCCTTTGAAAATTCATTGTTAATTTTACATAATTAATAATTCAGTCAAGAGTGTACACCTAAATATATCATGATTTGAGTTCCATGTCTTTCAGACATTAGCTACAATTTCCTAGTGTGCAGTGGTTGACGTTTTTTTGCAGTTCGGTGGTGTACCATACCCCAAATCCCATGTTTTGTTTGTACATTAATCAGAATTGAGTTGTAATATTGTTGTGTGCCTTCATCCAAGCAAACTTTTACAAAAGCCTTTCCAGTGTTGAGTAAGAGGGGGTGGTGGTTTACTGGATTGTTGTACCTTTGCTATGTGCCAAGCAGTATTTATTGTGGAAGTAGATGTAAGAGGGTGGGGGCTGGGATTAAATACATATTCGAATGCAAACCTATTTGCAAATTATTACCTTATAAGGTCTCTTGACCTCTTTAGAAGTTTTTAAATATGAGTCCTTTTGAATGTTCATGTAAATCTTAAATGGAATAAGGAGTACTTCAACAATAAAGTGAATACCAGTCTTTGTATAAGTTAATAATGTAATACACAATCAAGTGATGATGGCTAAAAGTCAGGTTATGGGAACTTGATGTTGGCAGCTGTTAATGTCTGTCCCATCCTAAGTTTTTTTGTGTTTGAACTGTTGGGTAATGTTAATTGCATTCTCATTTGAAAAATGTATTAGTTTTCTAAAAGCATTCCATATCCAAGTTCCAATAGATAATACTTCAATGAAAAATACAACAGTTTTGTAAATTTCAGTGTGTAAATGCATTGTGCTTCATATTCTGTATTTTTGCCTCTATTCTCAGACCACTCTGAGCAAAATAAGATGTAAGGTTGTGTTCTTACAGAAATAATGCTCCTGTTACAGTTACAGTTGAGTTCCTTTCTTTAGATAGTATTCATCTGACTGCTTGTTTAGAATAGCCCTGCTCAGGAGTTTGTTAACAATTGAGTTGTATACTGAAGAATAATGAAAGCAAATTTTTTTCTAGATGCTTTTTATTCAGGCTTCTCTTTCTAATTTGTGAGATTTACATGTTCTCAAATGATTGCATTTCTTTACTAAGTACTGTGTTTGGAGTCTGGGTTAAGTAACTGTAAGAGTATGGGCATGTGATTACTTTTGGCATAAATGTCATGAACTTGAATTTAATTACTTTAGGATACTTTGTGTTGCTTATTTAGATTATTATAGCTTTGTGTTAACTTGGGAATACCCAGAGAAAACATTTCTTTTATATTAAAGATGTTTCATCTCCTTAGGAGTGTTACACTGAGGCTTTTGTGAAAATTCTTTTCATTGCTTGGTGAATAATAACTGACTGTTAACAAGATTTTACAATTATTTCTACAACTCTTAGGTCATTTGTTACCTACCTAGCATTCCCAGCCTTGTTTCCCATATATCTCAACTTCTATGCTTTATTTTGCTGTGCTGGCTCTCATTTCTTCTCTGATTTACACAGTATCTTACTTAAAGTGACAAGAGAGGGTAGGAAGTGATCCCTTGGATGTATATATAGTGTGTTTTGCTCACTGTGGTTTAAGAATATAGTTTTATTTGTTTACAAATAATTGATGTTTCTGTCTTTAAAAAATTGAATGCTAATGTGAGTAACCTTACTCTCACCTTCATCTCAGTGTGAATTTTCCTACCATTGTTTAGTTTGTATATTGGATTGTTTTGAATAAGTATTTTTATTTGCTTTAAATGACTATCCAGTTAGAATTGTTTAGAGGAAACCTACTAACCAGTAAGAAGAGTGCCATTCATGTTATCCAGACGAAAGTTTCCTTTCTGTGGTTATTAGCAGGTTCTAACTCTTGACAGTGGGTGAATTTTAAATAACAGCTCCTTTTGAAATGTCCATATCTTTTGGGGTGACTCTTTTTGACACAAAGCCTTTTTCTATTTTTTTTCTTTTTTTGCGATGTAGCTTATATCTACCATGTAGTCAATTGCATAGAGCACCTAATTATGTATTTTGTAGCATAATAAAATGCTTTAGTTGAAATGGGGTAAGTATGATCAGAAAAATAGGAAAACATAAACTGTTTTTGGTAGCTAGAAACTTTGAACACCATCAATAAACAATTATTTTTTTATGTACTGTGTTCTAGTCAATATGAGAAGAAACTTATGAGTTAATATAAGCTTAGATGTTTCTGCTACCTGACTCATCTCCAGTTCTCATTAAGGAGAACTTCAGATACAGAAGGTTAAATTTTATTTATTTAAAAGCATTGGATTTCTAAAATTATGTGAAGGTCTTTTCTTATTCAGCCCATTAATATGAAAAGCTGGAGGCTGGGTATGGCAGTGCCACGTGTGACTGATGCAGGAGGATCCTGTGAACTCTAGGCCAGCCTGGGGATACTATACATGGAGCTGCTGGCTAGCCAGATCTTTCTCTATACTAAGGTCCTGTTTCAGAAGTTCAGGAAAACACACAATATAAAAACTTATAAGAAAATCCTATCAAATAAATATTCAGATGCTTTACTTAAAAACATGAATTTTCCATGAGTTTTAAAATACACCAAGTTGGCATATAAACACTCACTTTGAGTTGTTAATAATGGTTTGATAGTACATCATCTCAAAATGTAGGTATTTCGCTCTGTATTGAAATTATACTGCTTGCTTTAGCTTGCAGATTTTAAAGCTGTAGTTTCATTGTCTTAGTTCATTTAACAACTGTTTACATAGGTTCCCTTATAACTGACAGCTAAAGCAAGTAATTGTGTGGCTTTGACAGACATTTGATCAGATACTATTTTGAACATATGGGCATTGAATGTATTTGTCACTTCCAAGGTTTTTGATATCTTTGTTTATGTAGATGTCTACTTAGACATTTGAGACTATAATATGGAATTGGATTATTGGAAATGGGTTGTATTGCCTTCAAATTTTGCTTCGGTTTGAGATTGTAAAATTTGTGTTTATATGTAAAGTGTTTAGAACTAGAAATAAAAGTTTCTAGACTATTCCCTAAATTTATGTCTGTATGGTGAAATTTTAAATTTTATTAATTAGTGAAGACCTTTCTATAAAACACAATGTAGCAAGAGATGAGTTCATTAGTCTTAAAGATATGTGTTGTGACCCCACAAACAAGATTTCATGTATGAAAGTAGTGAAGTTTCCATTAGGGTCATGTAATGTGTATCCCGTGGCTCTTTAAAGATTGTGATTTTCTTTCTTCTTTTTTTTTTTTTTCCCTATCCCCACACTGTGACTTTACATAATTTTTTTTCCAGTGATCCATTCTTGATCCTTTATAACATATCAAAAATATTAGGGGAGATAGTATTCCTTTTTCAGTAGGATTTGTGAGTTTCTCTGCAGTCTTTTTGGTAGCTTAAAACATGTGCCTTGTGTTTTCCTGGTGCCATACTGTTTTTAAAATTCACTAGTGCTGGGAGTGTACTGTTCAGTGGGTCATGGGCTTTAGCACATGTGAAGTCCTGCATTCATTCTCGGTATCAATTACAGAGAAAAAACCTACCAGAATTGTAACATAAAATAAAACCTTTGAAAATTGACATTACAGATTTTTTTCCTGTTAAATAATTCCTCTGTGTAAGCCTCATCAACATAGCATGAGAGTGAAAGTACAAAAGGTAGTGCTATAAACAGCTTAAATGTTTTTAAAAAGCACAGATGTATAGAAAACATTTTGATGAAAAAGACCCTTTTGTACTATTAAGACTTAAAGTTTTATTAGGGAATATGAATATGTGTATATATATACTGATACTCTTAAGATTCTTCTAAAGAGAATTGAACACAAAATTTGTAGTTCTCACAAAAATTATGTCTAATTTGCTTTAAGCAAAGGATGTTTTAACATTTTTATGACAGAATGCCACTGAGCATTGTATGCTTTTGAAAATATTAAAATACCCTTTTAGTATTTCTATTTTAAGTAGTTAATATTTCTTTCTTTCTTTCTTTTTTTTTTTTTTTTTTTGGTTTTTTGAGACAGGGTTTCTCTGTGGCTTTGGAGGCTGTCCTGGAACTAGCTCTTGTAGACTAGACTGGTCTCGAACTCACAGAGATAGACCTGCCTCTGCCTCCTGAATGCTGGGATTAAAGGCGTGTGCCACCAGCAATGCCTGGCCTCAGTAATCATTTTTTAATGTTCTTTGGATTTACACATACACACACACTTATGCGCATGTGTGCACATTCCTTAGGCTATAGTATCAATTTTATTGTTGGCTTTCCTCTTCCCCCCTTGATGTAAGTTTGCAATGAAATTTATCATTGTAGATTCCCATTAGTTGGTGATGGTTAGTTGATATAGGTGAAATAGATTGAAAGTAATGTGTCAGAATTGTATTATGTCTAAAGATTTGTATGTGGATGTCATATTTAATGTCCATGCTAAGGTATTTATAAATTTTGTAACACGGACCACCATTGGTTTATAACAAATTGGCAGAAGTTCATGTATGCTGTCAAATACAGTTTATTTGTAAATTTCATTGCATTTTATATTCAGTTCAGCATTTGTTAAATGAATTGTGTGGATGAATGAAAAAAATAGCTACATTCAAATCCAAGCATTTTCCCATTTATTTTGTAGTATGCATATTTTAGAAAATGATTTATGGCTGTTCTCATCATCACAGAAACAGTAGCTGCTGTATTTTCATTTGTTACTATAATTTTTTTCTTTAAAAAATTTGGCAAAATAATTGCACAAAATTATTATAATGGTCTTTGTATGACAATCAATGAATTTTAAAGGTAGTAATATGTAAAAAGAATGAAATGAGAATGTCTCATTTTCAATTTGTAAATTAGGAGCATTTCTCCACTATGCAAGCAGCTACTGTTTGAGTTACTTTTTATTTTGTGTTAGAATACCTAAAAGTGAGTAGATGCACGACTTGTGTATGTATAGCTAAGCCAACATTTTTCTGTGTATTCTGGGGAATAGCAAAATCTACATCACAAATTTTGACACATTACAGCTGAAGGAAGAGGAACACCTTCCAAGACAAACAGTCTTCATGGGGGAAAAGTGACGCTTGTCCAGCAGTTTGCTTCTTGTGATTGAACTGAACCTGTAAGGATTCATGGATAAACTGAACAGGAATAGATCTGAATAAAGCAAATCTGCATAAATGGTAACCAGTAGCTCTACTTTTATTTTTTTATGTTGCTTAATTGTTTTATTTGAAGGAAACCTGTGTGATTTAAAAAGTTGATAGCTTTTGCAACTTTATTACTGGTTATATATATTTGGCCATTATAATGTGCAAGCAATTGGAAAAACTTCAAGTAAATGCTTGTTTTTATAGTAGTTTGTTCTTGTTAAAATGTTCATATGATAATGTCTGTAAACAGCACCACTTTGATTACAATAGATGTAGTGTTGTAATAAACTGTTGAATGGGGCTGATGTGTAAAGCTGTTCAAGTTATTTGATGTTTACACCTCAGGGAAAGTCTTGTGTGCAGCAATATCTAAAGATAATGTTACTATGACAACATTTTTACTGTCCTTTAAAAAGCATTGCAATAGGGTGTTTGGATATGCATCAATCTAATCTTGCGTTCAGTGAATTAAACATAACCAATTAAGTGTCTCGCCCTTGATTTTGATATTAGGATAGGTGATTACATGGATATTTAATATTTCTATATTCTGCTTTTCTAGCTGTTTTTACCTAGTTAGCTTGTGAATTTGCTGAATGGTATGTAAACTTGTAAAAACTGAAATTTGGCAGATATAGCGATTCAGTCAATGTTTTAGGGGTGAAAAATTTGAGGTTGTAACATTTTTGGTAAAGACTCATGTATTTGCTACAGTAGTGCAGCTCAATTACACCCCAGATATGCTGAGATGGTTAATTGTGAACTGCTAGCATTTAAGAGAGAGTTGATAATTCTGATTTGACACAGTAATTTACTGTTTCATGCTGATGGTGCCATAGACAGTGTAAATACAGCCGTCCAGCAGATAATCCTGAGTAGGGAAAGCCTTAGTAGTCTACTGGATAGAGATTCTAAAGGGTGTGATATTTATTAATGTTGGGTTGTATTCTTCAGTGTGAGTAATGGGAGATTATAGCTACACCCTGTCCTCATGGTTCAAGGAATTCTGTGTATATTCCTGTTATCCTCTTGATTTATGCTTGATTATAGTTATTGATCAGTTGATTCTTTTTTTAAGCTGGCATTAGTAAAAGGCTGTATTAAAAGCACCTGGCTAGCATGTGTTGTGCAAAATTAGCAGAGACAGACTGTCAACTTGATTACCTATTTTTATAGGAAGTCAAAAAACGTGAATCACTAGAGAAATTTGAGATAAAATCCTTAAGCTAATTTGCTTTAAATATATTTTAAAGATCTTATTACTTGTGAGAGATCTTTGGATAATGGGCATTGGCTTTTAAAGTTTGTCTAAATTTAAGGGCAATGCTTAAGGTATTTATGTACTGAAGATAGAGATGAAGTTCTGAGAGCTCAAGATGTTTGCTCTGCTGTTTTTCAGTTTCGTCTTGTCTGCTCTTAACTTGCTCAACAATTAGCTTCAAAATGTCCTTCCACTGCCAGTTCATTTAAAACATTTTGTGAGCAGAGTATTTTTGCAAGAAGAGATCATTGGTGTTTAGCAGAACTGTTAGCTCTCAGAAATGATTTTTCTTAAGTGTTTAATCTTGTTAAAATTCAAGTTGCCTTTTAATTTGAGAGTTGTATCAAAATCTGTTTTCTTGTTTTGTATATAGATATTGTAAGTTTTTGTCATTTCTTAGCTTTTTTTAATAGTTTAATTACAATACCCTAATGTGAAGACGTTTGGATATACATATGTTTACAAGGGAAATTAGTTAATAGTAAGATTAAAAGGTAAGTAAAATGTCCGAGATCAATTTTCTCTGAACACTTTTAAAATGGAATCACAAATACATATACTTGAAATGAAACTGGAGATTTTGTACTAATTTTAATCCCACGTTACCTTTTCTCTTTTTTAAATCAGTGGAACCCTTCAATTGCTCCCTTTATGTCACCCTTTTCCTTGCTTGGCTTATTTCATTAAGTGACTTTGGTTGTAGATAGTGTCAGTGTACTAGAGTTGCTTGCTGCTGCTAGCCAATTACTTTAAGTGTTGTTAGGAAGAAATAAAACAACTTTGGTTTGACTAATTTTGCAAAGTCTCCTACCTGATAACACATGAATGTATAGCAGTAAAAGTAAAAATTTCAAACCATGTTTTATTTGTCAAAGCCCTTGTGTTGTTTAGGAGCCATTGTTATTTGAAAATTTGTTTTTGATGTGTAAAAAACAATCCAAAGAGATAAATCTTTGCAAAGACACCAAATAAATAAACAGAGAGAAAAAAAAGGGGGGGTGAGGGAGTCTTAAAAATGATAATTCATTTAGTGGCATTGGAAAGAAGCTTGATTTTTTTTTTCCGAATCCCAGCATTGTCCAGTGCTGTGCAGTCACATTCCTCGGCTAGCAGTAGAGTCATAAATTCATGTGTGGTGAAGTACCCGCATGCTATTTCTTCTGGAGCAGCACTTTGAACTCATACTGCTTTGAGGTAAAGGAAATATGTTTGTAGAAACAGTATTTCAGTGTAAATTCAAAAGTGCTTATGTTTTGTCAATTTTCAGCAAGATTTTGAGTAGCTTGCCATAGCCATTGATCATATATGTTAGCACATTTAATGGCTCCTTTATCTAGACTATTCTTAAGCAGTTAACTACAATTTGGAATTCACAACGTATAGCTTAAGATATTGTTTTCATTTGTTCTCCTATGGAGAATGTTGCTTTAGTTTTACTAGTTTAAAGTCAGTTCTAAAAATAAACATGGGGTATATAACACTTTATAGTGACGGGGAATTGTTGAAAAGGGTAAGACTCCCTGTGTGTTGAAATGTGCCAATAACCTAAGTACATTCTGTTTGATAAAATGAGATGCTACTTCAAGGCTCTTCTGTTGGAGTGCTCTCGATTGACATTCTAGTTTTGTTACCCAGATGGTAATTGCATTATCTGTATCTTACAAGCCCTGGTGTTGGGTTTTAAGCTTCAGCTTTTTTTAAAGAAGAAGTTTATGTTCTGATTCTTTACTGAAAATACAGTGTTGAGATTCTTGCTATTGCACAGATAACTGATTTTTAAATTTTATTCAAGAAGTTCATTTGCATCCCATAGCCCTCTGTAAATGATTCCCCCAGTTGTATGTACATACTAAATGCACGTTTATCCATTGTACATATTAGACATTTTTTTGTGCTAAAATATTACCAAGTAGGATTTTTGTAGCAAAGCATTCTATTTTTATGTTCTTATAGTATATGTGTTAACATTAATCTTCAGTTTAAACACTGGTGTATTTATTTTTTAGCAACTTGACTCCTAGAAGCCTTAGACTAATTTTTAAATAAACATTCAACCAAAAATTATAAATTTATTGAGATGTGGCCTTATATATGGTATTTCTTGTGTTCATAATGTGATTTTTTTAATTTAGATTTTATTTGAATCAAGATTTAGAATTAGTTTCATTTTGAGTCAAAATAGAAAATGTATTAAATGTCTAGGCTTCTGGGAGGAAGTTCTTATACTCTTCTTTCTTGGCATTAGAAAGAAGCAATATGACTATGAATATTCAGAATATTCAGGCCATTGTGTTATATTCAGATTGGTTTAGGTTTGTTTTAACCCAATGTTTCTTTAAAAGTTACAGGTTGTTGGCATTCACTGAATATACAGCTACTCTGGTTTTTGTATGGGATGTATGAACTTTTGTTACATTATTCCCAGATTTCAGTGTTTTCAAGACTTCCTGTGTTACATTAATTATACTGTGGTGGGGGACTTTGAAAGAATTAGGTAAAATTTAATTGAAGTCACACAAATCTTGAATGGTATCTGTGGATAGTGAATACTATGAGCAGTTTCTCATGTGGGAATACCTTAAAACTCCACCATGGGAGTAAATTACATTCATTTCATAATTGGACAGACCATTCATTTTAGTAAAAATAGTTCATTTTGAAGGTGTATTTTTTGCTACACTGTAAATTCGTAATACTTCTCAGCATTTCTGTATGCAAATTATTTTAAAATACAGTGATAAATTCATGTTTGTTTATTTTTTTACTTTGGAAATTGTAGTACTCAGGTGGTATTTATTGGGAAATGACCCTTTGGGGTGGATCATAATATATTTTGAGGACTGCATCTTATAACATTTAGGACTTTAGCCTTGAAAAGTTCCATTATTTCTTCCCTCGCATCTCATGGTGTATTAGCAAAGTAGTTTACAGCCCAGCACAGCCTTACAAAATTGTTTTACAATTTTTAATGGAAAGCCCTTAGCAACAAAAAAATTGTATCATATTCCAATACCCATGAATTATTGAATAATCACCTTTTGTAAATAAGTTGTCTAATATCAGAAGGCCAAAGAAAGTCTTGAGATTTTAGCTATTGAATGTGGTGTGGTGACTTCCTAAGAGTTCTGTGCAAAAGGTAAGGTGATATTCCATCGAATAGGCATCCTTTTGTTGTCCGTGAAAGCTAGACTTCCATATTAGCTTCTTTCAAAAGGCGTATCCCCATTTTATTAAAATGTTTGTACTTGCAATTTTGTGTTTAATGTTTACTTTGTCTTTTCTTTCTTTAGCATTTAGGTGACTGTTCAGCAGTTTGCTATATGGTCATTGTTGGCCTTAAACTGCACTAGTAACAAGCATGGTATTATCTTGTATTGAAAATAAAAACAAAGTTTTGATAATACTTCGTAGTTTGTCCTTTTTGTTTAACTTATAATTTATTTTGTTCAACTTTGATATCTATTGGGAGACTGCTGTTTTAACAGATTAGACTACCTGTATTTTGTCTAAGCCAACCTCCTTGAGTTATCAGTTAATTATACCCTTGTGTGTTGTGTAGACACTTGACTGTCAGGCCAGAGTTAGTTCTTGCTTTCCACCTTCAGATAGCATGTTACCTGTTTCTTACTGCACACTTCAGGCTAACAGTCTTGTGATCAGATGAGTGAGTACACCGCCTTATTCTGTTTTTTTTTTTACTTGGGTTCTAGGAATTTCTCATCAGGCTTTTGTGGTAAGTCCATTTACCTGATGAACCCTCTTGTCTACCCACATGGGTCTTACATTAAATGAGGTTCCCACACAGCTCATATAGGAAAGCTTTGGCTTATTTCCTTAACATTGTACTGAAACCTGAAGAGAAGACCTGGTAGATCAATACGCTGGCTTTCTGAGGTGAAGAGGGGCTAGTCCTGTTGGCTGGAGAGTTCGTTGTGTGTAGTAGGGAAGCAGGTAGTAAAAACCATGAATGGTATGGGACTTACTAATGCTAGAGCCTGAGGCTTATAAGTCCTGAGAGTTGGTGAGATAACTCACCTGGGAAAGGCATCTGTAGCCAATCCTGAAGACGTGAGTTCCCCATGATCTACGACCCACATGATCTAAGGAGAGAACCAACTGCTGTGGGTTGCCCTCTCTACGAAAGCACATTGGCACACATGCACATAATTTTAAAATTACCTTAAGCATCACAGGGAGCAACTAATGTGTATGAAGGGCACAGTTCAGTTAGCATTTCAAAACATCTTTACTGCAGATTATGTTGGGAAAGAGAAGATGAGGTAGGTAGTCCAGTGAACTTCACAACTTTGTTTATCAGGAGATGGAATAAAAGGGGAAAGAACGTATACAAGGTAGTGTGCAGGGTTAGTGGAATATAGAGACAAGGTGTAAAGATGAAAAACATGTATAATGTTACACCAGTGACTAAGATGGAGAGCATTAGAAGACATTCACAGACTACATTAGTATCTGCTATCTAAGAAATGATAATCATGTAATCATATAATTCTGAAGTTGAGAACTGGAGTTAAGCCATAAGTTATAGTTAAAATGGAGAAAACTAAATCTAAGAATTTGGACAGTCATAAGGAAATGTGAGGAGTCTGGTTGCTGTAGTCATACTTTTGGTTTAGGAAAGCAAACTGAAGATAACTTGTTGAGATCAGTAGTATAATGAAAGTACCTTTTTGGGGGGTGGAAGAAAGAAAAGTTCTCAAAGGAGACTAAATACACAGAAGGCTATAGGTTTGTACTTAGGTAATAAGTTTTCCATACTTCTACTAAGTGAACCACCTGCTTTGAAGTAGAAATTGAATATTGTATAGGTGTGACTTACACTTATAGAAGTAATATTAATCTTTAACTTTATCAAGACTTGGTAAGTGTATCTAAATTTAGGCTCCATCTTATTGGTGGCAGCTGACTTACTTGCATCTGTTTCTCACAAGGTAGATGGATAAAGCTTTAGATGAAGGCTGTCATCTTCACTTTGCTTCTCTATTTGAGGAAGTATGTTGTTTAATGGGTTTTGTACTTCTTGCTTTTCAATTCTTACACTAGTAGATTTTACAGAGGAAGCTCTTGAGTCCTGACTAGTAGCAAAGTGGTTGGAGGCTAGAAAATGCTCTTGGGAGTCTCATTTTTCAGTTATTTGTTCATCCCTATCAAGACGGGCCCCATTGCCATATTTGATAACTGAACTATAATGGGGAATGTATTTGTAAATGTTCACTTTCACACATCTTGGCAAATCTACCTCCCTGGTTACCTGTTCTACTCAGTCTCCTCTTAGAGCTAACACCAGTGCCTTTCATTTTAGAAGTTGAGTCCTCCCTACCCTGATTTATGACATTTCACACCCAATACGTTAGGACATCTACCATCCGTGAATACTCAGGACCACTCCATGTATTCTCACTGCTTTCTGCTCTTGCTATCATATAGTCTCTTCATAGCACAGATTGGCAGTAGTCCCTGCAGTGGCTTCCCATTTCTGTAGTAAGCTGGGGTCTTTAACATAGTCTCATTCTGACTGCCTTTGAACTCAGTCCTGCTTCTGCCTCCCAACTGTGAGGTTTATAGACCTGAGCCACCCTGCCACCTCATTCTCACATTGTAATGCCCTTGTGATACATTAATTTATCATTTGTAATAAGTGTCTTTATCTTAGTGCAGATCTCTTCTAAAAGTAATTTCTTCAAATACATGACTTAGAAAATAAACAGTTGAGAGTTTTGAGCACATTAAATTGCCCCTAATTTACCTTTGCGGCTATATGTAAAACTATGTATCTCTCCCCATACTTTTGAATCTTCAGTGATAAGTTGTTTTTTTTGTTTGTTTTCACATACTGTTGTTAGTTTTTGTAGCGATGATAATTTTTACATTTGGTTTTTATAGTCATTTATCTGTTTTGCTTTGTAACATTAGAGAGCCAGTCTGACTTTTCAGTAGTAAGTAGGCAAGCACTACCAACTGAGCTGTAACTAATGTTAGTAGTGTACTGCCATCTACCGATAGGTTTGTATATATTTTGTACATCGTGTAAAAGCTAAGTCCATAATTTCATTTGGGAAAGCATTTCAGTAGAGAGATTCAGGATCTGCCATGCATGGTGATGTACACCTTTAATCTCAGCACTCGAATCTATAGGTTCAAGCCTGCTGTGGTCCACGTAGTTCCAGGACATCCAGGCTGCACAGTGAGACCTTATCTCAGAGCCTGTGGTAGCTAGTATTGGTTGTTAACATGGCAGGATATATAGTCACCTGGAAGGCAAGCCTCTGGCCATACCTATAAGGGGTTATCTACATGGTTACCTCAACTGTGAGTGGTACCACTTCATGAGCTGGGGTCTTAGAGAAAAGAGTGAACTGGTACTAACCCTCTGATCTGCCTGACTGGGTATGCACTTTGACTAGCAGCTTTCTCCCTCCATGCTTTCCCCATTTTGGGATTCCCCTTAAACTAGGAAAGCACCTAAATTATATGGCAGGCAAATGACAGACTCATACTAACAGACTAGACATTTCTAAAGATTCTACATTTTTTTTTTGTTTTTGTTTTTATGTGCATTGGTGTTTTGCCTGCATGTATGTATGTGTGAGGGTGCCAGATCTTGGAGTTGTAGACAGTTGTGAGCTGCCATGTGGGTGCTGAGAATTGAACCTGGGTCCTCTGGAAGAGCAGTCAGTGCTCTTAATCGCTGAGCCATTCTCCAGACCCCCTAAAAATTATTTTTAAATCCAAAGGGCGTACTCAAATTAGAGCAGGTACCATAATGTCCTGACTGACTATTGTGATGAAATTACGGGGGTCTTTTATTTGTCTTAATAAAGAGATTTCTGAATTCATCCAATATACATGAAGTTATTTTTAAAGATTATTTTGATATTAAATACATTATTTCCTAAAGTAGGGGATACATTTAACATTACTTGGGATTTTGTTCATTTTGTCGTTCTGGGGCTCAAACCCATTGTTTTACAGGTGGTAGGCAAGTGCTCTACCACTGAATTGTATCCCAGGCTGTCATTTAACATTAAAAGATAAACTGCTTCCCCCCCCCCCCCCCCCCCCGGGGGGGGGGGGGTGTTGTGGCGGGGCGGGCAACTTACTAATGTTTAGTTTTTGGGAGACCTGCCTTGTATGTTGGTCAGAAAACACTTTGAGGGAATCGGTTCTCTCCAAAGTGTGGGTGTGAGGGTCTCGGATTTAATTTAGGTTATTGGGCTGAGTTTAATCCCAGGGATTAAAAAAAAATGTTTTTCCCATGGAGCCATCTCCCGGGTTCTCATTTAAGGTTTGGTTTTAAGCACATGTGTGCTGTCCTCAATTCTGAATAAAGTTCTCAAAGGTAAGTCTGGACTTGCTGAGTGTGGGAGATAGTTTGCTCTTAGTCCTAGGTGTCTCCTAGTGACAATAAAAGTGATGAATTTTAAAGAAAACCTTGGGCTATCTATGAAAGGCAATAAAGGGTTAACACATACTGGCCCTTTTTAAAAGACATTGGCTGTCCTGAATAAAGTAGAGACTGTATTCTGGCCACCTTTTCAGTGCTATTGCATATGTACATTAAAACCCATTTGGGTTCCTCCTTTTTTTTTTTATAATTAATGTAACTATGTACATTGGTGCGAAGGGGATCTGGAGTTACAGTTGTGAGCTGCCATGTAGGTACTGGGAATTAAATCTGGGTCCTCTTAACCATTGAGCCATCTCTCCAGTCCCTGGGTTCCTCATTATTGTGAGAAATACAATAGTTATTTGTTTATCTTGGAATCAAGGAAGAATATGACAGCAATTATTTTTAGGAGCTGTTTACAAATATACAATGTGGCGTTGGTGGCGCACACCTTTAATCCCAGCACTCTGGAGGTAGAGGCAGGCGGATCTCTGTGAGTTCGAGGCCAGCCTGGTCTTCAGAGTGAGTGCCAGGATAGCTCCAAAACTACACAGAGAAACCCTGTCTCGAAAAACATACACATACACAATGTGTAGGAATCTGCAGCTAAATGAGAATTAATAGTTGATCATGTTGATTGAATACAGAATCAATTTAGAAACCAGTGTAACTAATGTTAAATTAGTAAATGTGATGTCCTTTTGCTGGAAGTATTAAACCTTTATTGGAAGACATTAAGATAAATGAAGACCAGTGCATGTGCTATTTTATGAAGAGATAATATTGTGATACTACAATTTCTCCTAAAATAATTCTTAGAATGAATGCACATTGAATTAAAATCCCAGAGATTTTGTTAAGTGTAATATGTGAGTTGAGAGGCAAATGGGTACCAAGAAGGGAGAGAAGTGGTAGGGCTTGTTCATAATAAGTAGGATAGTCCAGTAGTCAGATTCCAAGAAACAATATGGAGCGATAGAAACCATATGTGTGAAACT